ATTAATTATAATCAACCGTATGGAAATTTAGATAAAATAATATATATCGAATATATTCTATATACATGTATATATGTATATAAAAGCTTAATTACAAATTGTATAGCAAATTAAATTGGAAATGCGCAAAATGGGGGCATAAATAATGTGCCAGAATTGGAAGCGTTTGCGCAACAGACGCGAATGGATTCATTATCAATACTAATGACTTGTGTAGTATATATTTATATAGCGTATACAAATCGTGCTCTATAGATCGAGGCAATGTTTATTGAATGCGAACCGCATCAAAATTCCAGTAATAATTTTATACCATCAAATGGAATGCCTGTCGTTTTTCTTCTCCTTATCGTTAAATTCAACTTTTCACTGCTGTGATTTTCGGCTATGAAATTTAACTGTGTAGGCTCCCCAGGGGGGCGGTAGAGGGAGTGAGAGAAGGGGAGGTGGGGTTGTAGGGGCTTGGCTACGGGTCGTTAGCCCCTGGCGCAAAAAATTCACTCGGCGACGCGCAATTTGCAGCAAATAATTCAAAATGTCAGCCGCAGCAGCAGAGTGAAGAAAATGCCAGCGAAAGAAGAAAATGTCAAGGAATTTAAAGTTTTCCACCCTTTCTTGTTTTTCGTTTATGTAGTTATGTAATGCCTATAGACCTGACGCTGAAGGATATTGACGAATCGATCTGATGTCTGTTTATAATTTGCAGCAATTGTTTATCTCCGCAGCCGCCTCTAAACATTAGACGAATGTATATTTTTTTATGCTTTAGCCATGAAAATCGATTAATGTACAAATGGCCAGCACATTCTTTTTGATTTATGGCTATAGGAAGCACACACACACACACACACACACACACACACACACAGATGCACACAAAAGGCAACATCCATCGATTGTTAAGTAAACAATTGAACGTTTGTTTAGATGCATAAAAGTTGTTGTTATTGTTGTTCAAATTTCGCTTTCATTTTGTTAACAATTTTATTGTTTTTTCCTGCTGCGGTTGATCTCGTGGCTTTGGCCCATTCGATTTATGTTGTGCGCGTCTATATAGACAATATGCTTTGTATATAAATTGATTTGCACATAAATTTCATTTCGGTTTGACTTTTTATTGATTTTCTTTTTGCGTACACAGCAAACATTTGCTTAACCTAATGAGCCATGCGGTCAAAAAATCAAAAAAAAAAAAAAAAAAAAACCAACTCTAAATAAATGTTTGGCAAGCCGAAAATTAAATACACTTTTATGCGGCTCAGAAATGCTTTCATGCGAATACGTTATTTTCGCCTAATTGTTTTTATGGGCGCCATATAATATGGTAGACCGATTTAATGTGCGAGAGAAGCTCTTAATTGCTGCGTTGTTCAAGAAATAAAATAGGTTCTAAAAGATTCATTTTCTTGACGGTTTTTTTATGTGGAGCTCTATGATAAATGAAATAGTTTTCGGCTGTTGATAAGATTTTGCTTGCGTATCAAGAGCATGGTGAAACTTTTTAAACGCACGTTTGATCAATTTATCTTAAACAAATTAGAAGAACCTAATCTTATATCTATCAGTCCCTAGACAGCCATTATTATATATTATAGCCATTATAGCCATTACATTATATATATTAGTCCGATGTTGATATATATAGAGCGTGGTAAAAAGAAATCAAAAACTTTATATCTATCTTTCCTAAGGCTACACATACGATATATTACTCCGATGTTTCTCAGTTTTTATTTTTATATATAGAGCGTGGCAAACGCAAGTTTAGTGAAAATACCTTGAAGAGCAAAAGAGTTGCTTAAAACAAGAAGCTAAGCTTTCGTTCCCAAGGCAGCTATAAGATAAAGTAGCACGATCCGTTCGGTTCCTACATAAGTATATCATGCTTTCAAGATTACATACATTTTACATATAATACATATATCTCACATATAATACATATATATTACATATAATACATATATCTCACATATGCATTACACATGCCATCACATAACTAAAATACCCTCTGCTAGTAGGGTATGCATAAAACTGAAGTAACCGCACAAATGGTAAAGTGCATGGGAAAATTTGCTGAAAATGTCAGTTGGCGCATTCAAAAGGGCGCCAAAGATGAGGCTGCCTGCTGCAACACGTCCTTTTGCCCGAGGAAAACTAACAAAGTGCTCGAATAGAGCCAAAGGGGGCAGCAACAGCAGCTCGCCTTAGCTAGACACAAGGGCAACTGCATGTTTTGTGGGCGTGGCTGACGCATGTTGACGTTGCCTTTGAATGGCGTCGTTGTTGCTAGTAATTTGCAATGCAAAAACAACATAAAGTGGCTGCTGACTAGGCAGTCGACGTCGACGTCGCTTGATTCGGGGCTAAACCTGGGCATTTGGCTGCGACCTTGACGCAACTTAAATATTCAGCCAGCACATTTCATATTTCGTTCTCTCAGTGCTGTGCATCCCCCGCCATTGAATAGTTATCAGCCCGGCTGAGCTGACCCCGTCTGGCATTTAAAGCTTATCTGGCGAACAACAACATACAAAAAAAATCCCCCCAGTTGCCTGCGCTTCGCCTATAAAAACGCTGCCTCTTGGGCGCTTTGGCATCAATCAGCCAACAACTGACTTTTAGACAAGATGCAACTCAATCTGCGTGGTCTGCTGCTGCTGCCCCTGCTGCTGTTGGTGCTGCTGGTGCTGAGCCTGAACCTGTCGCTAACCGAGGCGCGGCATCGTGAGGGTCGCATACCGTTTGATACCCGACCATCGCCGTTCAATCCCAATCAGCCCAGGCCTGGGCCGTACCTGTAGATGTGACGTGCTGATGTCGTTAACACATTAGTTTAATTTGATGCGATTAAAGTCAGCTGTACATCAAAGGCCTGTGCGTAATAAAATTATTGATATTGTGTGGCACATTTTGTGTACTTTCGCTATGTCTACAAAGTCTTTTACCTGCCACGTTGCAGCGCAACCAATTACCAAAGTTTGCATTTTACTGTTGCTACAAAATTTGCAAAGTCATAATTGAAATTTGCTTGCTCACAACTTGACAGTCATCGTTGGCTGTGCAAAAATGTCAACGGGCGGGTAGTAAGGGCCTGACGAGCAAGCCCCTCATTAATAGATGTGTTGACGAGGGGAAGTCCACTCAAACCAAAGCTTGATAACGTCTGGGGGCAAAAAATGAACAAATAAGTTGCAGAGCTCTGTTACTAACATACTTAAATATGTTAAGTAGCTGTTAGTTATTGTTAAAATTGTTAACATTGTATGTTTCGTGTGCCAAAAGAAAATCATCGAAAAAACTAAGCTTATGTTAAGTAGCTATTGAAGTAATGTGTAGCATAACATGCTAATGCTAATGTCATGTTAACTAGGAGCTTAGTTATGCTGTTTATGCTAACATTTACATTATAACATAACATACTAACATACTTCTGTTAAGTAGCTCTTGGTTAATGCGTACCATAAAACAGTATGCATTCTTTAAGCATGTGGATTCACATATATGTTGAGGTCTAAAACCGTGTGGCAATAATTGGGTAGACTGTTTTAATATAAAGTAAAAAAAAAACGAGAAACATGTTAAGTTTAGTCAGTATTGGGAAATATCATTCAGTAACATTTTATATTGTATTATAGAAAACTTACTCAATTGTATTTGTATCATAGAAAATATTTCTCAGTAACATTTGTTTGTTATGTTAAGCAGATGCTACTTAATTTTTCATTTGTATGCTTATAAAACAGCTGCTACTTAATTTAACATTTGCATTTTATGTTAAACAGCTGTTAGATAATTTTTAAAGCTTGTTAGTTTTGCAACATTTGTGTGCTATGCTAAACATCTGTTATTGTTAGTATGTTAAACACATTTGCGCTCTTATCAAGGCATATATGTTAAGAATATGTTAATTGCAAATTTCATGAATGCAAATTTTGAACATCGATATAGTAGAGCGTATTTTGTAGTTTCCTTGCATTTTTGGTTTCCAATTATGTTCTTTGGAAATTTTCATCCCATCAGCTACCGAGTACGTATCACGATTTGATTTTAGCATGAAACGTGCTTTCCAGGGGCCAATCTTGGCCGTAGTGAATTCTCCTCCACCAGTTGGGCCAATTTGTTAGCTTTGGCAGCGTTGTATCATGCTGGGAATTTGCGTGGTCTCCATATCCCTGCTGACAGGCCTCATAAATAATAATTAGAAATTGGGCTAGCGAAGCCTTCACACGGAGATGCATTCACCTGCGTGCGTGTGTGTGTGTGTTGTTGTGTGTGTGTTTGTATGTGTGTGCTTGTGCGTTGACACTTACGCATCTGGCGCTGGCTGATGTTGGTGTTGAGCGCGTGATGCCATTTATAAATTTAATGCAATTTAATTTGTGTTGTTTCTGACGCGCCAGCGGAGCGTATGAGTAATCAGCTTGCAGCGACGCCTCCCACAGCTCGGACTGCTGCGGCAGCAACTGTTGCCAGTTTTATTTGCGTATATTAAAATTGAGTACGCGCAAACATTTCAATGAGTTTCACACACAATTTTTCTTTTTGCTTTGCCTTCTATTTTCAGACGCGGCATATCCAAGAAAAGCGCAAAGAAAAACACTTGCGAAAATTAGCGGCAGCAGCAGCAGCAGCAGCGGCTACGGCGGCTGCGGCTGCGGCGTCAACGTCGGCCGTGTCATCTATAAATAGTGTGCACTGTGCGCGTGACAGCTGTGACAAACGGTGACGTCATTGCCTGGATGGCCGCTCGACGCTCGGCGGCGACGTCATCAAATCAAACAGCTTAGCAGCAAATTGTACATCACGTATACGCCGCGTATATTGGCCAGGCCAATAAACACATCAGACACACATTATCAGCATCTCTCTCGCTCTCTCTCTCTCTCTCGCTCCCTCTCTCTGAGTGTGTGTTGGGCAAGTAAAATCGAACTGATAAGATCAGCTAAATAGCGTATATATGTATGTATATACCATTGAATATATATATATAGATATAATAACAATATGCGCAGAGTAAACACACGAAGAGCCATGAGAATCGCACGAAAGCACAGCAAAAAGAAAGAAAAGCGGAACAAAAACAAATATTGTCAAAATAGCAACTGAAATGCTTACAAGCTGCTGAGCCTCAGTCTAAATTCATCGTCGATCGGCGTCGTTGAATGCCTCGCGCTGCTGCGAGCGTGTTTCCTTCGCTGTGAGTGTGCCGTGAGTGTGCGTGCGTGCGCGCGCGCCTTGTCTCTGTGTGCGTGTGTGTGTGTGTGTGTGTGTATTGTGGTGTGCCGTCTCTGTGGCGTGAAATATATATATATATATTGATATAAGCATATATATTTAATGCGATATCTGGCGCTAGACGCGCGTAAAAAGTGGAAAGTTTGTTAAATCGACTTAAACGAGCTACGAGAAACGCGAAACATCAACAACTAAGTAACAACAAATAAATAAACTAACAAAAACACAAACGAAAGAAAAAAAACAAGAGCAAACGAAAGCAAATTGATTTTTGGTGCAAACAATACACAAGAAATACGTGTCATAAATCATAAGCAATAATTTGTGCTAAATCCGTTTCAAACTTAAAATGTCAGCCATAAATTCAAGCAAAGGATTTCACTTAATACAATTGCAGCTGCTCTAAACGGTGAGTTCTACCTAGAGACATATGTATATGTAAGACAACGCGCTAATATTTATTATCCTTTAAGACATACGAGCTGTAGCCTAGGGTAAACCGAGCTTAACTAGAGTGTTAACATATTTTTGGCATATTTTTTGTTAGAACATTTAAATTATAAACCTTTTTTTATATGTAAGCTATAAAAAAGAGGTTTAAATTTATAATCCCTTCAACTTTTTTTTAAGCGAATCAAGAAAAAGCAACCTATACAGAATATATTAAATAACAAGTTTTAACTTTAAGGAATAAAGTGATATCCTTTTAGACATTTGCCATAAGGCTTAACAGATATGCGAGACTCGTAAAGAGACTCGTTGGAAAACAGAATATATTGCCCTATAAGAGCCTACTTTTCGACCGATCGTTCCATGGCAAGTATATAATACAGAGTTCCTATGTTGATAAGTTTTGGCATATGTTTGTAGGGAGCATAGTGATACTTATAAGTGCCGAGTTTGGTTTCGATATCTTGGAAATCGGAAACGTCTAAAAATCTACTTTCTGACCGATAGAACCTAAAAGATGAAGTAGTCCGATATTGATAAAGTTTTGCATATGTATGTATGAGACTTATTAATTCCAAGCTTGGTCAATAGATCTTGTTAAAAAAAGAAGTTCTTTATATAACAATCTACTTTTGGACCGATAATTTCTCTGGCAGCTATATAAAATGGACCTATGCAAAGTTTCATTATGAGATCTTTAAAATAAGAGACTCCTTCGCATTGCAAAAGACAGACGAGCAGACAGCTAGACAGGCAGATGGACATGGCTATATCAACTCGGCTTTTGATGATGATCTAGGGTATATACGCCTTATGGGATCGGAGAGGCTTCTCTATGCATTCGTGACAAAATTATACTACCTTCTACAAAAATGTAATTTAAAAGTTTAGTCAAGTTAGCTTACGAACAAACAAATTTGTTATACAACAACTTGATTCTTTTTATCGAATATATTTGCGTCTGCTCTGTGATATCGCAAGTCATTTCTTACAAATATAAGCCTATTTATTCTCTATAGTAAGAAGCAGTATCCATGTTTGTAATTTGCATCAACAAAGCTGCAAATACGCTTACGAATTATTTGCATGGACAAAAGAATTGGCATGGCACTGAGTTCATTTTGATCAATAAAATATTTATAGAATTTGTGGGTACGATAATGTCTTTTGACAACATAATAATAACCGTTTTTTTTTTTTTTTGCTGGCCATTTATGACAGCCTATCAAATGGGCCAATCAATCAGTTTGTTTACCTTATGAATGGCCTGTCTAATTAGTTAAATGCGCTTTGGCATTGTCTGACTAAAGAAAAGTGGGCACATTTCCGTGTAAAAATACTCACGACTTATTCACTTATTTATGTACAATATATGATAGCAAAACGTGCGACGGTAATAGGCTTTCTCTGTGTGGATGGGCTGGGCAGGAGGGGAGGTGCAAAAGTCGACGTAGATTCAAAGCGGGCTCTCGCGGCGCATACGCAATTTGTGTGTGTCTGGGGCCGGATGTGTGCCTGTGTGTGTGTTTCGCTGCATGAATGTTTTCATAAATTGAGTTTGCTTTTTTCGACAGCACGTTTTGTGAGGGTTGACACCGACAGAGCCCCCCAAGGCGCCCCTCCCCTCCCTTCTGATATACATACTACCTGTCATTATTCATTGCGATTGCGACTTTTGTGCTCGTTCCGAGCTACCCGAAGCGAACGCATTTCAATAAGGGAATTATAAGGTATTAGGCATATAAATTGCAAGCGGGAAAGAAATAAAAGAAGAAGAGCAACATCTATTTGGTTTATGGGATTTGCGCGCTAAGAGTTGTGTGCTTGAAGGCAGGCTTATGCAATTGATTAGCCTGAGATACGTTTGTATCTGTGAAGTAGCTGCTAGCTGCTAGCTGCTAGTGTGTAATGCCAGGCATTTTAGGAATTTTGTTTTATAGCAATGCAAGAACAAAAACTTGGTTAATTTATGTGCACAAGTTCATTGAAATAAAAATAAATATATATCACATACACATGGCAGAAACATTTTGCAACAGCTTCAGCTCAAGCTATATGGGCGCACTGCCATGTAATTATGTATGTGTATGCAAGTATATCTCTGTGTGTGTGTGTGTGTGTGTGTGTGTATCTGGGTCTTCACAGTGTGCCCCTCGTACCTTGACAATGCACTTGAGTCAAGTTTGCTTCCTCGCTGCCCAGGTCGACGAGTCGCTTGGCTGCCAATGCAAAGGCTGCCAAAATTGCATTGAGCAACAGCTCGGGCAGGGGTTGCAGGGAGCCCTGAGGGGGCGGGCTGTGGGCTGGGGGTGTCGTTGGGCATTGAGCATGATACGGGCAGCATGTAGCAAGCAGCTGAAGCAACAGCAACAGCAACGGCAACAGCGGCGACAACAGCGGCGGCAGCAGCTGTAGAACCCAACGGCGCTGCTTGTTTATTTATTTATAACATTTTGTTTGCTGCTCGTTGCCGTCGCGTTTCCTGATTATGATATGCCCCACAAATGCCATCGGGTATATTGGCTTTGTCATTTAATATACAACACACAGCACAAGTGCATTACACATGTCCAACTGTCTGTCAGTTTACTTATGAATGCTGTCTATTCGAAGAATGCTTTAGTTTCGTCTAGGTTTGGCATCAATCATTCAATGAATCATTCAGAATGATTGGAATGAGGCAAAGGTATTCGAATACAAATCTCGATTGATTGAATACCCGCCTAGAAAGTTGCGAATAAGTCGAAGGATATTCAGTTGCCATTCTGCGCGAAAAAATGGCGCAAGGAATTTGAATACAAATCTGAATTGATTGAATATATCCTTGAACGTTGTGAATGAAGCGAATGTTGCGAATGATAATCAAGGCAAAGGTATTTCAATAAAATATCTAAATTGATTTAATGCATCCCAAAACGATACGAAAGAGTCGAATTTGGCGAATGATATTCGTTTGACATTCTGCATGAGTGGACTGAGGCAGAGATTTTTGAAGAAAACTCATTCAATTTAATATAAATTGAATCATACGCATTTCCTCGAAAGTTGCGTTTGTGATGAATGTTTCATAGGTGAATAAATCTTTCGAAGTAAATAAACATTTTATGCATATTCCAAGAATTATAACACTTTGGCTACCAATTTATTTGTATTTCATTATTTATAGAATCAATAAGTATCAGTTAGCCGGCACGAGGTTCAGGTTTAATGTTTTTATTAAATGAAATAAAATTAATTAAAAGTTTTCCAATAAACTTTTTTATTGTATTCGAGTGAAATAAAATAGGCCAAAGCAGACAAACTGGAAGCTGTATCAAATTTCTCCAGGACACATTCCGACGAAGCTCAAAATAAAAGCATATGAAAAACTTTTAAGAAATTCTGCTTTCATTTTATAAATTAAAGTGCAACTCAAACCGGACTAAAAATGTGTTCATTTTGCTTCGAAATATGACTTAGGTAAGGTTTGGACTAGGTTAATTTAGGTTAGGTTGAGTTAAGGTTAGGCTTATATTAGGTTACGGTTAGGCTTAGGTTAAGTTAGGTTAAGGCTAGTTAACGTTTGTGTTAGGCTAAGTAAGGTTAGGTTAAGTAAGGTTAGGTTAAGTAAGGTTTGGTTAGATTAGGTTAGGTTTAGGTCAATTAATTTAGCTTCGAAATATTACTGAGGTAAGGTTTGGGCTAGGTTCATTTAGGTTAGGTTGGGGTTAGGTTAGGTTAAGACTAGGTTACGGTTCGGTTTAGGTTAAGTTGGGTTAAGGTTAGGTTGGGTTAAGTTAGGTTAGGTTAGATTTAGTAAGGTTAGGTTAGGTTACATTAGGTTAGGTTAGATTTGGTAAGATTAGGTTTGATTAAGTTAGCTTTCTGTTTAGGTTTAAGTTAATTGGGTTAAGACGGTTACGTTAGATTTAGTAAGGTTATGTAAGATTAGGTTTGGTTAAGTTTTAGGTTAGGTTAGGTTAATTTAAGTAAGGTTGAGTTAGATAGGTAAGGTTAAGTTATATTGGTTCAAGCTCTTTCATTTTCATAGTAGGATATTCTAAAGTAAGTCTGTTTTATTTTAGATCAAGATAATATGGTAGGGCATTCAGGTTTCGTGCAAGTTTTCAAATAGCTATTTGCAGCTAGTTGTGTATTCATTTTCATGCTGAGCTTCCCATGAATGATAAGCGCAAGTACTTCAAAGTATCTAAAGGCTGCCAGTGTGCGCCTGCCCCCGGCCGCACCACCCCCTCCGCAGCTGGTTGCTGCCCCAGCGGCTGCCGCCGCGCTGTGGCGCTGTCAGTCCCATTGCCAGACAGCGTCAGATTGGATGCATTGTTTTTGTAGTTAATTAATTTTATATACTTACCGTTGCACTTTTATGGCACAACAAATGGCTGCAAGTAGCCCATGGCGTTTATTATTGTTATTGTTGCTGTGCATTTCATAAAATTGCTTTCACTTTGTGCTTTGCTTTATGACATTGCCATCGCATCGGGCATATTGGCATTTTGGCATATCGTGCGCGCCGCTTCACAGATTTTCCAGGACGAAGCCAAACCATTTGACACCCAAAGCTGCCAGCTGCCGTCTGACTTGGCTTTCGTGTGATGAAAGTGAAGCTCACCACTTTTTTTTTTGCTTTTCGCTGCCAAGAATGATTGATCAATGTTGACAGATTTAACGAGCTGCTAAAGTGCTGCAAAACAATTCAATTATCAGGGCGGGTGTGTGTCTGTGTCTGTGTCTGTGTGTGTGTGTGTAGGTGTGTTGGGGTGTGTGCGTTGCTGGGCAAATGGAAAGATAATATTTGCATATATGTATGCTAACGTTTTTCTACGCTGCTGCAGTGCATCATCAGTCTTACATCATCATCATTATTATCATCAACATCATTATCAGCAGCTATCGCATTGCCTCAACCATTTCCCATATAGCCAAAGCCCATTTTTGGCACGTTTAGCTGCAGCCAATGCTGGCCTCATTATTTACATATGTGTGTGTGTGCTGACCTGCCACACACCTCGCACACACACACACACACACACGAACACACACACGAAATCCGCCGCCAGGCATTGCAACTTACATCTTATAAATAATTCAGTTTGTATTTAAATTTGCGTGATTTCTTTTTAACGCGAACTGCCCTCAAATATATATATATAGTATATATACATTTTTTTCATGGTTTATACGCGCATGCATTTATTTGATTTATTTATTTATTGATGCAATTTCGGGCTTGGGCTTGTTTTTTTCAATAGAGATTCGGATCCGTGCAAGGTCTGCCAGCTTATGACAATACGAATTTAATCGTTCTCACAGCCGTTGCGCGTAATGCGATTTCAATGCCGTGTAGATTTCAGCTGGCCATTGGCCAAATAATCACAATATTACTTAAGTTTTTCTGCTTTTCTGTTTGTTTATGTACTCAAATAGGTTAGCCAGGTCTTTGCCATAAATCGTATGAGTTAAGGCTGCCAAGTGTAATTTATGGGTTTTAATATCAATTTTAATTTCTGCGTCGCTTTCAGCTTAGTCTTTCCCATCAAGTTTTGCGCCTTAACTGCTTGCGAATTATAAGCACAGTCTTGGGAAACAAAACTTTTCTTTAAGTCTTCTGTTTGTTTTGGCAATTACAATGGGTTCCTCCAGTAATTATTACGTGAACAGCTTCCTATATAATATATCATTTTGACAGCTTTGCTTTTCGTACTCCAGCCTTCTCCTTCCTCTTGCCTAATTAGCACGTTTTACAATCAATTTGTTTGCAGTTAGTTCGGCATTTCCTTTTAATTTGGCTCATCAATTTCCTAATAGCTGCTCAGCATAATAACAATCCTTTCATGCGCGTAATTCGAGTTTCAGCTTCGCCAGATAGCTAAGTACATAATTCTTGTTAATTTTGTGTGAAGTTCATAGCCATTAAATGATCCATTATGAGCCTGGAACCGCAACAACTCTTAACTAGCTGGGCCAAGCACGTGTGTATATGTATGTATATCTGTATCCCGACCACGGGCAGTGGGCCTTTTAGCCTTGGTGGACATGTGGAAAAGTTGCCCAACTTTGTTGTGCCAACTGCCGCAAAGTTTGCCCAGCTGCGCTGTCCCGACTGACTCTCCCGAATTCTAACCAGAAAAAGAGAGGGAGAGAGCGAGAGAGGGAGTAATCCCACCTCTCGCTCACAATTCAATTCAAATGCTAAACAAATTTAATGAGCACAATACTGAAGCAATGCGAAATTCGAAATAATTTAATAATGTTTGTTGGTTTCTATTCACTTTTATTGCAGCTGGCATATAATGTTCAATTAAAACGAGATAAATCCATGCTCTAATTAATGTTTAGGTCCTATAATGCGTGTAAGCTAGCAAATGTTTGAAATATACAAAAGCAACAAACAAATATCCGATGGCAAATGGCGCTTAATAGAGATGGATTATTAATGCTTAATAAGAAAATCAGAACCTTTAGTATTTGTTGTATAAATGCAACTCTGATTTAGTATTTTGTATTTAAGCGATTTTAAGTTAATTAAATATGGTAACACTACTCCTACTATAGTAGATGGCTTGTGTGGGAAAACTAGTCGGAATTGAATTTTCTCCAAGGGTATTTTAAATTCGGCATGCCTAAGATAGCCTTTTTGTTTTGCTAATCCTGCTTTGGCATATAATTAATCTTGTTTTTCTCTCCTTCTCTCTCTCTCTCTCTCTCTCTCTTGCAGTTATGGCCAGCATGCAACGCTCTAAATGACAACACGATCCCAAAAAGTTCGAACTCGCTTTGTGATAAACCCAAGTTGAATAAAGTACGCGCCAAGTAGTTAATATATTTATGCCATATACTTTTATATATATATTTAATTAATTACCATACGTAACTCTTTTTAGTTTATTGAAATTCAGTTAGTGAGACTTTGAGACAGAACAACAACCATATAAAAGACAAGTTGACACTGCAAGAACTGTAACTGCAACTGTAACTGTAACTGCAACTGCAACTGTAATAGAACTCCCCAATTCTCGAAAAGAAAAGACACGCCCCCTTAAATCGATAGTTAACACATTTAGTTAGAGCTTATTAACTTGATAGCCTTATTAGTTAAGGATTAGCCGGAGCGCTCTGAATAATAATTCATAGAGAGCTGCCACCATGTCACATGGGTACATTGAGGAATGTACGTAATATATCCCGCCGATGAGCTCATCTTAATGACATATGGTCTCCTTGCACCGCCTGTGAAACCGCGACCCACACTCGACTGCCTGCGCGAGCCGCTCATACCCCTCGAGTATCCAGCGAGAGCCGCAACCAGCTCCAGCTTCAACGTCAACGTCAAAGGCAAAGGCAAAGGCAACGCCAAAACCAACGTCAACTTGATAAGCGCCGCCGCCACCAGCTATCCGAACGACTCGTATATAGCACAGTGGTCGCCGTCGGGCTTAGCCACAGGTGTCACCAGAGCACAGCCCATCCCGTCACGCATTCCCACTACGATAGCGGCGCCCACGCCGTCCAATTCACCACAGGGACAGCCGCAGTTGCCGCAGTCGCCGCTCGTCGAGGCCGGCAATAACTTTTTTAGCTTTGAGCCGCCTTTGACGGCTGTCCAGTTACCGCAGTCACAGAGCCTGCCACCCACGCCCACACGACGCACATCGCGCGCCTCCTTGACGCACTCCAACAACAACAACAACAACAACTCCGGCGGCAGCAAGCGGTCCAGTGTACGCAGCAATCGGTCGCAGGCGCCGCTCTCGCCCAGGCTGCTGCCGCATCAGCGTCCATTGAGCACGTCCATGTATAATAATGATGCCAACATGCAAGGCGGCGGCAACTCTGCATCTGGACGCCCACCATTCCAGCGCAGCGGCAGCGCATTCGATGAGGAGGGACGCATGATCGATTATGGAGCAGCAGCGTCTAGTGCTCTGGTCACGGCACGTTCGCGCAGTCCCAGCGTATTCTTGGAGCCACCCTCGCCCGATCCCACACATGCACACTTCGGGCCCGGCTGGGGGCGACCCATGTCGCCCATGGATCTGCCGCCGGAATGTTCAGCCAGCAGCAGTGGGCCCAGCAAATCGCCGACCGCCACCAAATCCCGTTTGCGGCCCAAGCTGCACATACCGCTGGGCCGACTCGGCCGATCCACGTCGTCGGATACGCGTGAGCGCGAGAGCAATCGGCTGCGCGAGGATGTGCATGTGCATGTCGAGAATCCGGTCTTCAGCAGCGAGAACCTGCGCCAAAACAACTTCGATGCATTTTTTGAGGCACGCGAGCCGGTCATCAAGCTGCAGCCGCGCACGCCAAACACGGCGACAGCGGACGGACGCGCCCATTCGCCGCCGCTGGAGAACTGTGCGGGTGTTTATGGCACGCCGCGGACGCGAACTCCAGCTGGGGGCGCAGGCGGCGGCGGCGGCGGTCTGTTTGCGCGTTTGTCGCGCGAGGAACGGGCGCGTGCGTTCAATGCGCGCTCCCGCAGCGCGGAGCATTGGGATGAGGCGGGTGGCGCTGGTGCTGCTGCTCCGGCGCCAGGCGGTGGTGGTGGTGCTGCTCCGGCCAGCGCTGGTGGCGGTGCGGCGCACTCCAAAGGTGACAGGTGCCCCCAAAAAAACTACTCTTTCACAAGCTAATCAAATTGTTTACAGTTCTTTTTGCCGCTGCTGCTGCTGCTGCTGCTGCGCAAGCTGCCAAAAAACAAAACAAAAAAAACTCGTAGAAATTGTTGCGTATTGATTGATTGACTGAATGAATGATTGATTGACAACTGCATAACCAGCCAAAGCGCTGCAACTTTCGCTCTGCAGTTGTTAAACATGATTTTTTACGGCGCTTGTCATAACCTTGCAGGGTTAAAGTTCGTTAAATTCGCAACTTTGTCAGAGATAAAGAGCAGGAATAAAGCAAATGTTAAGCATTTTCGTAGAGCTTCAGTCAATTTTATGGGCTGCAGGTTTTAACGGTTTTCTAAGGCCAACAAGTTAAATAAATAACCTTTTTTTCATTACTCTAATCATAAAGAACAAATTAGATCTAATGAAGTTTATTTGATATACAAATCTTTTCGCATATTTATTCTTGCAGTCCTCGACAGACGAGTGAAGTTGCTGGTTCAAATCTTTAACTAATGTCTTATTTATGAATCAGTCTCTCTGAGCAGAGGCTTAAGTTGGATTTATTTAAGAATAGTTTCGACAAATTAAAGATTATTGTTGAAGAAATTAGTATAGAATTTACTAAAGTATAGTCTAAGCAATTTAAAAGAATATTGTAGGAGAGTCTGTTATATCCAATTTCCAATACCAAAGCTAGTCTAAAGCATTTTAAATTTTATTTATAAATTCAAAAAATAGCTGCCAAATGTGCGACTGAGCAGAAAGCTGTGCTCAAATAATTCCTGCAAGGATATGCAAGCTTTTTGCATGTCAAAGTTACGTTTTCTTTTTTTTGTGTTCTCACACCTTTGCATAGTTACCTTTATAAAGAGTTAAAACATAACTAAAAAACAGAGAATAAGTCGAGTGCTTGACTTTAACTCAAATGCAGGCTGACTGCCTGCCGTCTTATCCTAATTCTTATCACACATGCAATGATGTCCGTCCGCGCGTTCTCTGCATGCTAAGTGGATTATGTGCATGCTTGCATATGCTCCCACACCAACACACACACACACACACACACACACTCACACACTCACACTGGCTTTAACCTTGCATAGCGTGCCCGTCGGCAAGGCAAAACAGGGTTTTGGAGCGCGCGTTTTTCCACTTCGCAATGGGCACACGCACATAATTCCTTGGCAAATGCTGTGCAGTGCTTTCAAAGGGCAAACAATCAAGCTGCTGCACATCCTCGCCGAGCGACTTCGCAGTGCAGCAGCGGGCGGCATAAGCTAAGCGGGGCGTGAAGTGTAATCAACAACGGCGCCAGGAGGCGGCACGTGTGCCACGCCTTGAGATGCCGCACAGCCCACTTGGAATCCATTTCAAAGTTTAGAGCGCGGCACATTTGATGACCAGCCGGAACCGGAGCAGAAACTAAATCAACGGCGTGCGGTCGGTGGACGTGATTGTTGTGTGTGGAGCCACCGGGTTGTTGTCTGGCCACGCCCCGTTTATGCCGCCTCTAAATTGCAGTCGGAATGTCTCATAATGTGCACAGCGGGGCACAGGACATGGCTTCAGTGTGTAATTTGATGCTGCTAAATAATTTCTATAGCACACTTTTGCGGGCACAGATAAAAGCACACATACGCCACGTGCACCCGCACAAACGGACAGCCTTGCCATTACGTGTGTGAGTGTGTGTGTGTGTGTGTGAGTGTGGTCAGACAATTGGGCAGCTAAGCAGCTAGAGCTCTCCGAGCAGTCAAACAAATGCGCCCAAAAGCCTTTTAGCTGAAAATAAAAAGAAAAGAAAAAGAATTGAAAGCGTTTACGCTTCATTTATCGATTGAATTCGAAAGCAGCCGCAATTGGATAGCCTCGACAATGTCTTGGAAGCCGCCTGTTTCTAGCCCGGCTACGTTCTGTTTTGTTGACTTTCGTAATGGGCGCCCAAGCACTTGAAATTTCCGGAAAATACACGGCGAATGCCAGCCAAGCTAGGGCCAAAGCAAAGCCCAACTCCGGACTCATTATTTATGCATAAATATGAGCGGCAGCGATTTGTTTGATTGCGCGCGACGCCCCTGCACACCTTCAGCTTGTCAGACGAATACACGGCCGTATTTAACACAGAGGTAAAAAAAAAAGAAAGGAATTTGTGAAATGCCCGGAATTATTAGAGGTGGGCGAGCGCAGGACTGGGCGGGGCACCGAAACCGAACGTTTACCCCGGACGGGCAACTGTTTCATTTGAGTTATTTACTTATTTTGTTCGACAGCTTTTTTTTCGTAGCGATTCGATTTCGGTTGAGATTCGATTAAATTGATATGAATTTAATTTTGTTTGCATTTACATTTTCGGTTTGGTTTGTTTGCGTTTTGCATTTTGCGTTTATTTTAATTGTTGATTTACATTTTGTTTAATTTCAATTTAATTCATTTACATTTTTCGTTTGCTTGTTTTGAATTAATTACAGTTTATTTGTTGTTTGTTGGTAATAAATGATTAATAAATGCGTTTTACATTTGTGCACAGATTCTTTGGCAAAATCTTCAAGTGGTCGAAAAAATCGTAAGTTCTTCGGGTGGAGGGGACCACGCGGTGGTTCCCTTAGCCCACAGGGCAGCATGGCGTCCTACCAGGGTGTGCTCAAGGATTACAGTCACAGCAGCTTGAACGAGGCTTTCAAATCCCAAAACAATGTCAACTTTAAGTTAATTAAAACAGGTGAGTGCCACACGAACTACACGAAAATCTATTGACAAGTGTAAGCATAAGTTGCAGATAAAGCGAACAGTTGAGTTTATCAGGAAAATTCCTGCTGTCGATTTTCCTGCTCGACTAAACAATTTATATAATGTGGCCGAGTGGGAGGGGGGAGTGGTAGTGTGTGTGGGCGGGTGATTGTGTTTTATTTGATAAGTTTCTCGATTGTTTTGGCTGTGTGTGGGCTGTGTTTTTTTTTTGGTCCCTTTTTATATGGCTTCGCTTTATGGCTTATTGATTTGAATCGCAGCGCTTCTTTGTTTTGCCGCGTGCTCAGATACCTTGAGATTGTCGGCCATAAATCTATTCAATTGATGTGGACACGTTCCCAAGTCCGCACTCTACATAAATAACGCAACTTAACATCTGGCTGCCATAGCGATATGTCAGCTTTACAGCTCAAGTCCCCCAACTATTTGGACCGTCTTCTTTGAAAGTTTCTATATCTTTTTTTTTCATTATTTTTTTTATTTCAACTTTAGCACACATGCTGCATTCTGACCCTTCGGGCATGTTGTCAATTTTTAATACCCTGTGATTAAACAAATGGGTGCTATAATTCACAGAAGCAACAGCATAACAACAGAAAGCAACAGAAAGCAACAAGAAAAAGCATGAATATAATACGTATTTTCTGTTGACACTTCAATATGCACTTCCTTTCATTCAGAGCTCCCTTTTTTTCCTTGGAAATAAAATGCAGTGCAAAGGAGAGAAATTAATGAAATATTTTTGTTGTCTGTCGCATTCCCATAAATACGCGATGTATTTTAATACGCTTTCTTCTCTTACGCAGAACAAAATAACAAAAAAGAAAAATACAATGAAAACAATTGCAAACAGCGGGCAGAAACAGCAAATAAATTGTAAAAATATGTGACTATTTGTTTTATAAATATTCACTGAAGACTTAAGCAACTTTTTGCCAGAACAGCAACTGAAGCTGTGTGGCACAAAAGTTGATTACAAGCAAAGTTTTGTGTAAGCAGATCAAAACACAAATCCATAAATAATAAGTGCAGTACATGCAAAACAAAACTCAGAACTCACAGAGCGTAAATGCAGTAAAGAAGAGATATAAAGAAATTTGTGAATAATTTGTAATACATTTATACTTCAGATCGACTATTCAGCTGTTTTCTAGCTAAATGACAATGTTTCCAAAGAACGTCAGCTGGAAAGAGCAAAAACTTTAAAGTGATTTAGCTATTTTTAAACATCTAAATAACCCTGTTTTCCAAAAAGCTGTTATTTAGCTGTTATTAAAAGTGTATTTAGCTGCTCTTTTTAAATTGCAGCTGGTAACACTGTCTTTTACTTACTTACTATCGCACGACTGACGATATTATCGAAAAACATAACGAAAACCTATCGATATATAAAAACAATTGAGTTTGCAAGAGTGTGTACACACAACCTAACTTATAACTTACAGGGTATCTCGCCGTCAGGCGCTCTAGATTTGTTTACACTTGCTTGGCTTATTTGTCGCATCTGCCAGGACGCACAACATTTCAAAGCACGAGCATAACTTTGACTTGTGTCACTAAAAGTTACACAGCCTGCCAAAAGCAACACACACAAACTGAACAGAAATTGCATTTGGGCCACCCGTTTGTAATTTCAACTCTCCCAGCGAGTTGGGTAAAACTTTTTAATAACATTTCTTTGTACAGAGCAAAGGCCAATACATGATTTGCCTTTGGCCAGAGAATCAGTGGAGCAGCTGCAGTTGCAGGTATCGATAGCCATGAAGTTGATTGCTGCTGTTTCCGGGAAAAACTCGGATTCATTGCAAGAAATTTCCTATGCCCACAGTTAAATGGGTTTGAAAATGTTCTCAGCCTTTGATCAAATGCAGCTGCCTGTAATGCGGCTACTTGTTGCCGCAATTCGCATGCTTGAGTCAATAAAAAGAAAATGTTTATGGCACATAAACTGGCAGGTGGAACGGCGGGTCGGCTAAAAGTTAAAAGCCAGCACAGCTACATACATACGTATATAAACATACATATATTTAAATAGTCGTAAATGTGATGGATTACAGCGATGACAGACAGTTTTCTCATATGACGCAGCAGCAGCTATTCATGCTTTTACGAGCAGCCTTTTCACATTAAGTATACGCAGCGTACGGCATGCAAAGGGCAGCGCACATTGTGTTGATGAAATACCTCGACTACTAAAAATCAGTTAAATCCCTGGCTTATTGCAGCTTAAACATTCAGCTGGCACTCTAAATATGTGTGCATTTTAGCCCGAAGCTGGCCAAAAGCCTTGAGCAGAGCTGTAGTCTACAATAATGCACTTTGCTGCTACAATTGAAGCATTTTGTTGCAATTTTGCTAAATACTAAAATTTCTTTCTGAATTTAACTCAGCTCAGCTTAAATTTTATCCGTTGATGCTGCATGGACTTAAAATGTTTTAAATAAATATTGAATACATTTTAGTAATTCCATTATAATAATTGTCTGAAAAAACGGATTAAAAATTGAGTTCTAACTTTCGTTTATTTGTGCTGGAACATTTTATAGAATTTCTAACGAAATTAAAGGCAAAAACCGGGCAGCACAACCCACATTAGGTATGCGCATAGTGACTCCGGGCTAGTCCTGGCCGGACTCTAATGGGTTTGTGGGCTGGTTTACGCAAAAAAAAAAAAAGAAAAAAAGAAGACTCCCAAATAAAATACACAATTTTACTCTGGCTTTGATTCAATGCAAATTGAGTGTTGGTTCGAATTTTCAAACGTTTTTAAGGTTAGCTCGTTAGCTAGTTGGTATTCCTGTGCCTCGCTTCAAGCGAACACTATCGATGTAAATTAAATTGAATTATTTATTTTACGTTATTTGCATGGTTATATTTTGTGCAGGCACAACATTGATAAATGAATAAATTATAAAATATTGCATACAGCGTTGACTATCTAATTGGCGATCTGGCAGCCTTCAAATTCAAAATATCGATACAAACAGTATTTAAATACCACAAATTATATATGCGAGGTATCGATTTATCGATAGTAAATGCAAGAACAAGTTGGAGCGTGCACTGATCGTGCATTTGGCAACGAAAAAGTTTTCATATTGTTAGTTTGCATTTGTGAATGTGCCTGTATAACAGTTATTTATATATATTTATTTTAATTGCAGTATCCGATTTCAACGAATCACTTTCCCAATTGTATGAGGAACATGCAACTGCCCTTCAAACTTTAGTGTCCAATTATCGCAAAAAGAATGCCGAGCTGCGCAAGGAAAGGTACGCGCTGCAACTGAATATTTATTTCAATGGAGCACTTAACGATTTACAATTTTTGTTGCTGCTGCTTATTTTCACAGACCCGCCTGCCATCTGGCCGTTTTTCAGGCATGGGAAACATTCCTGCAGGAAGCGGAAACCGACTCGCAGGCCTGCAACGATGTGGCCAGCGTGCTCTCCCGCCAGGTGAGACAATTTTTTAACAGCCGCCTATTTGAGCGCATGTGTGTGTGTGTGTATGTTTGTGTTTGTGTTTGTGTTGCCTCGCGTTGACAGTTAAATGGATAAGTTATGTTGACCTCGTTAAACATTACACTTGTACACAGCTAACCGCAGCGGCAAAAATAGATTGTTGTTAATTGAATAATGGCCATCCTTAAATCAATCGCCGGCTAACAAGAGAATTATACACACGCACACACACATAGACAGACACTGACTAATTATGCTTAATTTGCGCTGAGTGCGTGTGTGTGTGTGTGTTCGTGTGTGTGTGTGGGATTGGGACTTCGCGTGTGTAATTGAAGCGGCGCATAATGTAATTCTTTTGAATATAAACGCCTTCTATAAACATTTTAATCAAAGGATATGTTGTGTGTGTTACAGTCAGCCGTTGCTCTTAATACATAAACTACAGGACTTAATATGTAGTCTAAGCAACCACATCCGAAGGACTCAAGCTAACCATGCTCGTCTGTCTGCCTTTCCGTGTGGCTATAAAGTATAGTAATTACATAGATCCGATTGACCTTGACAGAGTTGGACTCTTAAGACTAGACTGCAACATAATTAAGTGACATGACAAGCGCTTGTTATTAATGTTTATAAAAATAGCTGACTGCTCTCTGCCAAATTTGCTAAATAAGTGCTTGATATACGTATGTCCAATTTTTGTATTCTGTTTTTATTAATATATATCCCAGTATACGTCAAGGGATATCTGCGAGTCGCGCATTTTTGTTTGTTTTTATTATGTTTCTTGTTACATTTTTTATGTGCTTCATTTTGTGTGTTTTCATTTGCATTTTGCATGATGATTTGCATTTTTGTGCGCCCAAGCAATAAACAAAAAAGAAACTCCCTCAGTTGAAACATATGGAAAGACTTTATGATATAGGGCTAAAAAAAAAAGAGGCCAAGCGCTTGTAGGTGGAAAGTTAATTAACGTAAAGGGAAACCTGTTTTCGTAGCGCGCAAGCTGTGTTAATTATATATACATGTTTTTCATACTGTTTTCTTTTCATTTGATATGTTCACAGGTGTCGCGGCCAATGCTGGATAAATCCTTTCATCGCAAAGTTCAAAGTCGCAAAATCTTTACACACAGGGAGTCTTTTGAGACTATAATCGCAAAGACTGAAGAGAAGCTGTCAAAGGTGCGTTATAAACATGCAGCAACAACAACTTGCAACATAATTAAGTGGCATGTCAAGCGTTTGTTATTAATGAGCTGCACTTAATGTTGCCAAGCAGTTGGCTTATTAAGTAGCTCAGCGTGTGGCTACAGTCGTGCATGTTGCCGAGGACAGAGAAACGGCTTTAAGCCGCACGTACACAACAACTGAGTCATATATATACACATTACGCATACGCAATGCTGTCGCATGCCCCACGATAATTGTACATTTCTTTATTGTTTTCCGTTGGCTTTCATTTTATTTTGTTGCGTATTCCAGTGTCGCCTGGACTACAAGCAGTGCCACATGGCACATCGCCAGAATCCCAGCCAGCACTCGCTCACCGAATATATTGATGCGCACAATGCGTACGTGCAGCAGTTGCATGCCACCAATGGCATGCTGGAGGCCTATCACGGCGACACATTGCCACAATTGATGCAGGAACTGGAGGAGATACACAACGACCTATGCAACATTGTTTCCGATTCGCTGCTGCAGGGCGCCGATGTAATTGCCAGCAAGGTGAGTCGCATTATCTGGATTTATGGCTACGTGCAGCAATTTGTTGCCACTGCAGTGCAGACTACACTGGCTGGGCAGTGTGCAGCAGGTGGTTGTTGCAAAAGCTCGACACATTTTCCATGACTGGAATCTGAGTTACAATTAGCACTCGTCCTCAAATACAATTTCATCATCACCATTATAATAATTGCTCATAATTGCGAGGTGCGCAAATTGCGCGGGTAATTTATATAATGTTCGGTGCGTGCGCGCGCGGACATCAAACACTTGCCCCACCAAATCCTCATGACTATTAAATGCTGTTTGTTTTTATTTACATGCATATATACATATAGGCCGCGGAGCAGGCGAAGCGCTACGGCTGTTTGGCCAGCCAGTGTAGCGCCGTCTCGCCGCAACAGGATCTGATAAATTTTGTGCGTTTGCTGGCGCAGCCGTCGCAGGCACAGAAGGTGCCCAAACGCGTCTTCGCCCCACCACAGGCACAGCAGCCGGGCGAGCCAGCCGAGGAGACGGGTGACTATAATGTAAGCATACACACACACAAATTATACAACATCATCGTTACACACTAACGCACGACTCTTACACAGGAGATGACACCCATTTTGCGCAACGAGCTCGTCTTTGACCGGCACTCGACGCTGTCGCAGCGCTCCGCACTGGAGTCGCTTAAGCGTGAGGCAATCGAATTGGAATTGCAAATACGTCAGCTGCAGGTGTGTGCTACAAGTCTTTACCGCATACATGTGTTTCTTTAGTTTATTTATATGTGTATATATATTTATATGTGTGTGCAGGACTCCATTGATGCACTGAATCGCACTCAAACACGCGGCATTGAGGGTCAACTGTACAACAAGGTTAACGAGCTCCAGGAGGATTTGTCCATGAAGAAATTTGATTTGCGCGCCAAGCAAATACACCTCGCTGCCATACGTGCACAGGTGAGTTTTATGTGTGGTGAATAGACTTATATTAGCCGATACGCGAACCCAAGCTTAAAGCTTGGCAAATATGTTGAACATGCAGTGCAGCTTTTTGTGGCAGCTTTTTCGTCGTAGCACCTGTTGATGCGGAAGAGCTTTTACAGCTGTCAAACATTTAATTCAACTGTGAAATCTTGTATGGTTTTTTAAAAGAATTAGTTTCTGGAGAGCGCCTTAGTTTCTCTCAATAGCTAACAGTGCTGCATATAAGTGCGTGCATACTTTAAAGTACACATGCACTCGGTATGTAGGTCAAACAGCTGTGTTAGTTTTGACATTCAGTTCTAGTTGGAACCCCGGTACACTGCGCATGTGCCCAAAATATGTTCGAATTCCCTAAATGCTGCACGGAGCATAACTCCGGAAGTGTTCGTCCTTCGTTTAGTTCTGCGGTAGAGGAGCTAGCGTTTGGTCAGTGTGTGTGACGACGGCCTGTGACGAGCACCACAAAACTTAAATACGAACTAAACGACAATTAACGATGTCAACCGCACGTGCTTGACGTGTGTGTTCTACAACCTCAAGATATACCCGGTGTGTGTGTGTGTGTGTGTGCATTTTTTTGGGTGCCACTGTTTCATATTAACCATAGACCTTAGACAGGCGTGCGAATTGTTTGTTTGTTTGTTTGTTTGTTGTTGCTGGCAAAAGCGCTAGGCGTACAACTTGAAGTCCATTCAAGAACAGCTGTTCGGTTCGGCAAAACCCACGAGAGAGCGAGAGAGTGGGAGTCGTAGAAAGTGAGAGAGTGAGAGCGCGCCTTCGTAGAACATGTGCATGCGCAGCGTTGCCAGATCGTTGTCGTTGTCGTCGTCGTCGCGCTGCTGCTGCTGCTGCTGCTGGCTCGTATGCTGTTTATAAAAGCAACGTGCAAGCCTCGCACCAAGTCAGTCACGTGCCTGCATCTGAACGTTGCTGATAACGCGCGTCGCGCCACACGCTTGTTGTTGCTGCCACTAGCTGCTGAGTGATCCGCATCCGCATCCGTACGACAAATTGAAAGCGTCGCGTCTGAGCCTTTGATTGGCTGGCCAAAAAATACAAATCGGGCACACGTCTGCGAATTACCCATGAGAAATGCGCTGGCATTTGTTTTAGTCTAAGGCGTTGTCCCAACAACAACAACAACAACAACAATAACAATAATAAGAACAACAACAAACCTTGTTATCCTCAGACCACAGACAATATACATTTTAGAGCGCAGGACAGGCAGGCTTTTGTGTTCAGTTTCCCTGAGGCGTTTACTCAAAATCTAACTCAAAAACTAAAAGAAAACAAGAACTCTATATAAAACTTGACTTGACCGTAAGTAAAGCATAACAAATGTCGTTGATCAACAACAACAACAACAACAATAACAACAAAAATTAAAAAAACTACGCGTAGGTAGCATATTGTAAAATAAGAATTTCTTAGCTTTCTTTAAGAAACTAACACTAAACAAATAACACGCATACGCACCGTGCGCCAAAACGTATTTGCTGTCTATGCAAACCAAAAATGCAATTTGCAATGAATTTAAGAATTTCATTATTTTATACAATCATAATAATTTACTGTGTAGCACACTCTGTCAGTTTTCTTCGATACGTTCTGCTTGCTTTTCAGTCATTTCTTAATTAGTGCATACTAAAAATAGTTAACACAAGTCGGTTGGCAAACCAGACGAGAATAAGCAAACACCCACACACACACACCTACACCAACACAGACACAAGCTTGTACAAAATTCTTAGCAGCAAATAGCAATAGCAATAGCCATAGCTATATTTAGAAATACATCTATCTCGAACACACTTTCACCCAGCCCACCTGCTACTACTAAATACATATCCTAGTGCCACCTACTCAGCTATAAATAGAAATTGAAACCAAGCAATGCTACTACTTACTCTCGTTACTGTACTGTAAATACCAAACTAATCCACTTTGCTATAATCTATAGAAAGTAGTTAACTTAATTATAATATGTAAAAAAAAAAATAAGCAACAACAACAACAACAACAACTAATAAAAGGCTCGCATTGCATTTATCATATTACGTGTCTAACGAATGTGCAACTCCGTTCATAAACGGCAAATCATTTGACGGACTCGCATACGAACATTGCTAATTTGATATAATATTAATAATAATTGTTGTTGTTACACGTCGTGCTAACGTGCAAATTCCCATCGAATCTTGCCCAATCAGTAGCCACTTAACTAAACTAAACTAAAAAATCAGTGCACCATGCGCGTTATCGTACTCAAAAAGAATCGCACTAATAAACGCGGCACGCCCACGGCAACAGCCACGCGAGAGCCTCCAAAAAAATCGTACGCAAAAGTAAGAAATTCGTATATCTAGATGCAATTATCAATTGGTTTACATTTGCCTCATTTCTATATGCTAAATATGCTCCTTCCACAATAAGAAACCATTTTTTCCAAATTTTTAAATATATTACTTAAGTAAAGAGGCTTCCAAAATCTCATTTACATAATTCCATTGACAGCTCAATCAAATTTATATGTAATTTATAAACAGTTTGTGGAAAGAGTATTCAGGCTTCGTCACAGCGAAGATACAATTTAACCATATTTTCATTGTTTTATTTATTTCATTTTCTGTCCAAATTTGCCAGTGCAATCAATTTTTGAGTAATAAAAAGATTAGCAAAAATGCAATTGTTCACATATTTCAATAACGATTTCCAATTTCCGCGAGTTTTCATTGTTGTAAGCGAATACAATTAAAATGCGAAATAATAAATTTATAATACAATAATCATAACCGCATGTTCAACTAGTACAATTTATTAAAACAATGACATTGCATTTGTACATATTAGAGCAAAAAAACATAAAAAACATAAAAAACCATAAATAAAATAACAATAATAACAATTTAAATAGCTCAAAAATTGGTTGTAGTGGTCGGAATTATGGCATGATAATACAAATAAGCATTTATATATATGTATATAAGCTTTAGCCCAATTAGTTTTTATACATCTTGAACGCTAGCGTAGTAAGAAATGCTTGAGAAACTGCATCAATGAATCTTTTTTATTCCATTTAATTGTCTTATTGAAATGCAAACTATACAATTATTATGTAAGCTGTGCTCTCTATGCCTCGCTAGCCGTAAAGAGCACTTCGAAATCGTCGTCTGTGTGCTCGACTCGTCGCATCTGCATATAGTATGCCAAGGCAATCACAATGAAATATGCCTCAAGACCTGAAATATATTACACTTTAGTGGCGAAATGATATATGGCTCGTACGCTATTTCATTTTTATGTGGAATTGTTATTCAGTGTTGAGTTTGCTTGTTAGTTAGCGCGTAGTGTTGTAAAATGTTGCCATTTGCTGCTAGGCAGTGTTGTAAGACAATTTAAAATAGTCGCATTAGTAGTCTTTTACAAGAGCTTTGCATTTTTCAAATGATAGACAACTTGTCTAGATTTTCGATGTTTTTAGTTTTGCATTTTGCAACACTGCTACCAAAAAATGAGCTCCTATCGAAGCTGGTAACACTTAGAAAGCATCTGTGAAACCGAAGCGCCATACAAAGTTGTAGATATGTTCTAGTCTGAAAGGGTATTGTGAGTATCTTAACTAACCTGCTGAGAATACATCGAATAGCAAAAGCTCGGGTATGCAGTCGAAGACCAGTGTGTAAAACATGTAAATCAGTGTGCACAAGGCTGTCACATAAATCCAAAGCAAGACGCACACCTTGCGCTCCTATAGAGAGTGTTAACATGTAGAAAGAGTATTCGGCTAGTTAATACTCACAAAGATGACGCCTGCCAAAAGTAGTTGGGCGCTGAAAACCCCAACGAGGGCCAGGAAAAAGCTGAATTGTGCACTGTGCTGGGCAACTTTCGTATCAATCCACTCGGGCGCTAAGAGACGATCCTTGTGGACAAATAGTTCCTTGTAGCCATGATATATCTGCCATAGACCGGAAAGAGCTTCGAACAGGGCAATTAGCTTGCAGCCGAATTTTAGATCGAAGAAGAAACAGCAGCTCTTCAGATTCTCCATGTGCTGGGTAACGCCATTGAGGCGTTGTCGCCAAGCTATATCCCCGATTCCTTGATTGACGCCTTGCAGCAAATTTGGAAAAGACATTGAGAATCGCTAAAATTCTTGACGTGAAACGAATTGTTAATCAAAAAGAATTTCGTTTGGCAAATGTGAGCGTGTTGAGCCCAGCGAAAGCCTACTTAGTTGTGCCTAAGCTTTTGATTGTTTTCGGCTGCTTTTGATTACGATTTTCTTTTTATTGAGTTTTGTGCCATTTTGTGCAATTTCCTAGACGAAATTAAGTGCAGAAGAAAATCCAATTTGATTTATTTGTTTGGCGCAGCGAAAGCGAAAACGCCGGAAAATGGGAACAAAATCTAAAACAATTCAATTTTCCAAGCATCCAGCTTTCAGCTATAACTCTCTACCCCTCTCTCTCTCTCTCTCTCTCTCACTTGCTCACGCTCTCTCGCTTTCTCTGTCTCACTTCCAGCTAAGTCGCAGTCGCAGTCCTTGGCTCAAATTGCGCTGCCGCTTACTCTGCTGCCATTGGCACAATCAGTTGGCCATAAGCGAAATTCCTTTACTGATTTCCTTTTAAAAGCATTTTTCGAATTGTCTTGACTTGGCCACTTGAACTTTGTGTCCATTGCCATATGCCCCGCGCCCCGCGCTCCTCCCCTTCTCTGCCACTTACCTACTCGGCCTGCTGCTGGCCTGCCAATTGCCGCCTCTCGCAGCAGCATTTCGGCCAGCATGCCATTGTGGTTGTGCAGCTGCCTGTGTGTGTGTGCGTGTGTATTGGCATTTTCACATTTTGTTGTTGTCTTTGTTCGAGCCATGATTACTTAGTTCTGGCTTTCAATGGCATTTATTTTGGCCACGTCATCTTAGGACAATGAGCGGCAGCCCGTTTGATTTGAATGAAGCTGAAAAG